AACCCTGAAGGAAGTTTGAGCTTAGAAATTTTTTCTTTAAATTTTTCCTTCAAGGTCTCGGCCGCTTGATGTATAGTGGTTTCCAAGTGTGTGGGATCATAAGTGGTTTCGAAATAATTTTGAAAAGCCCTAATTTCTTTGACGTGAGTGAACATACCTTTCTTGGAGTGTACCTGCACATTGAACGCGTCAATTAGCTTTTGTTGAATGGTGAGTGTGTCAAACATATAGGTCTGGTAGAACTTAGTCTACCATTCAAGAAATCCTTTCGCTGTGAAGTATGTTGGCTCGAAAGGTAAAAGCTCGAACTGAGCGAAATCTTGGTATTGTTCCTGTTGCAACTTGGCCTCTCTTGCTTTGAATGTTTTGCCTGAGGTGATGGCACTTTGTGTTTGGAACAAAGGTTCAGGGATTAATTGGCACATGCCAAATTGTCTAGAAACAAAATTGGATTGATAAGCTAAGAGGAAAATCTGATTCTTGTTTGGGGTGATTCTTGAGGAGATTAACCTAGGAAGAAGAAACGCTTTCCAGATATTTTGCATCTCTTTGCTCTAGGCAGCTTCTGAGAGAGGCATTGTGAACCATGAAGTTCCACAAGTCCATTGAGCAAAAGGTGCCATGGACTCTTCAAACTTATGTCTTTTGGAGAAGATTATGATGTATTTAGAAAATTGGATTTTGAAATCATCCTTGTCATCATTCGGGGTGAGCTTTTGAAGTCTCGTGCCTTCGATGATCCTGTCAGCTATTTCTGGATCTTGTTCAATGATGGTATCAACGGTTGATAAAGAAGATTCGAACATGGCATTAAGCCATAGTTGAAGCAACCAAAAGGGTCCAGCTAGAAGAATGTTTTTTTGGAGTATGGGATTTTAAACTAGAAACTGCTGACCTTAAACTCTCATAAAGGTCGACAAGTAACAGTTCACTCAGACAGACTTTCCTATTTTCATGGAAATCCCTGGCTAGGGGAATGAACCTACTTGCTACTTGCAAAGATCTACTACAAAACACATATCGTGATAGCCACAGGGTGAGGAAAGCGATATGTTCTACATCTGAGACCTCATCCCCCTCAGTGTGATAATGGCTGATAAATTTTGAGAAGCTGGCCAGTTTGACATCGAAGTTAATAATGCTGGAATGTTCTTCGTTGTCAGGAATATAAATTTCCCCCACTGGTGAGAGACCAGTGATGGCAGCTATAACAAAAAATGTGGGTGTTATCATTCCGCCTGGAAGATGGAAAGTGTTGTAAGTACTGTCCCAGACGTACAATGAAGCGAATAACAATGGGTGACTGTAGGTAAAGCCTGGTTTCGACAGTTTGATTAAGTTATAAATCCCTAATTTTTCCCATTGTTGAGATTTTTTGGATTCCACCTTGGTGAACCAGTTTTGGTATGCTATGTCTGAAGTGGGGCAGGATCGAAAGGGTTTGAAATTACTTTTGATATAATCTAAGATAAAAGGGTCTTTTGGAGGTAAGGCCGGAGTTTCAGTTGTTTTCGAATCAGATGATTCGTTTAGGTCTTTAGTTCCTGCCCTAGGGGCATCCATTTTGTTGAAAAGGGGTTTGAATTTATAGCAGACAGGCAAAATTTTCCTAGTATCTTTCAGAATTTCAAAAACTGTTAAAGGACCCATTAGGGCAAACTTTTTTCCAGCAACAGTGGTAGGGATTAATACCTGAGAGGCGTACAACATTTCTTTCTCCTTGGAGATCATTTGAGGATTAAGTACAGATTGATTCTGATAAATACTCACTTTGCTCTCCATGATGGTTTCCGTGTTGGTTTTCTTGTTCTTCTTCTTTGATAATTTCTTCAGTTGTGATGATGTTGATGAAGACATTGTTAAGATTGCTGGAAGTTTTTGGGTTTAGCAAAGAGGAGGAAGATTTCAGAAATTTTGGAGAAAAAGAAGAAAAGACTAAACTGATAGGTTTTATAGAGTGAGTGTAAGCACCCACTAAAAGGACTAGGAGTACGTGGAAGTTGTTGATTGGATTCAGAGGGAGGTGGCGTAAGATCCAGTGTTGATCATAAGTGTGTTTAATAATAATCATTATTTCTAAACCACACCATGTTGTGGTAACTGGTCCAAAATGGTTGAGTACTCAAGAAGGCGTCTTGATTGACGTAGGTAAAATCATGTGCAGTAAGTGTCATGATTCTTCAAAAGGGGTTATCAAAATCTTGTGAATCTATTTAAAATAAGTACTTCTCAAAGGGTTCGAAATACATATTTTAAAGGGGCATTTTGTTGGCTGAAGATTTTGATACTGTGATTCGAAATAAAATTACTATGGTTGAGTTTTGTTTGGATAAAGCAGATTTGATGATTCAGAATGGAAGAGAATACTTGTTTCGAATGGAAATATTAGAGTTCAAGGTTTCGAATGATAAGTTGTGGAGTGTGAGTCCAAAGCCTTGTTTGAAATAATCATAAGAGGATATTTGTGAACGTCATTTTTGGAAATAACCTATGAACAAACTCGAAACGAAAAGTTCCAAAACATTTGAAATTCAAACGTAAGCGGGATATTGGAAATTCAAATACACAAGCGTAAGGGTGTTCGAAGACGCGTGGAGGCTAGAGGGAAGCAATGCTCTGCATGCTTCGAACGTGGCAGATTCTGATAGCAAGACCGTTATGGTCGAATAGTATAAATAGAAGTCTTATTGTTAGGATTTTGTGTGTGATATCTGTTGTAAAAATTCAATAAACATTCAAAATACCGCATGGATAGGGAAACGAATGCTCGAAAGATGTACGTATGATAACACCAGCATTTACAATTCAGTGAAAACTCTTTACGTTTTCCAATTTTATCTTTCACTTCCGTTTCATTTGTGTTTCAAGCAATTTTATGTTTATGCCTTTAAATTAAAGCCTTTGTACTCGAAGTCATTTATCCCTCTCTGCATTTAAATACTTTTCTTATGGTCGAAACCTCTAAACATTTGGTAACTTTTACATTCACCCATTTAATCCTGCCATTTATCCAATTTCAAGTCTTTAAACTTTTCTCATGAATATTCCTAATACCATATAGAAGTTATCCTTCGAACCATTCAGTATAGTAATCGAAGCGGATTGGATATCTGTGGAACAGACTCTAATTCGAAATCCTAAATACAAATGTCAGTTTTACAATTAGACTTAGCCAAACAACTATGTTCCATAGGATCAATCTAGTCGTTCATGTAAGTTACCAGAGAGATTGAATAACAGTAATTAAGTTTATTTGATAGTTTGGAAGACTAGCGATTGTTCACCAGAAATCACTGTGAACAGATGCCCTCTTAGTTTTCGAGGAGGATTCCTGCTTCGCTCCCCATCGAGCTGGAAGCTCCGTCTACAAAGACGGTCCACTTGTGTTTCCCATCTACAGGGGGTTCGTGTGTTTCCCTCATCCACAACAAAGTCGGACAATGCTTGGGCTTTAAGGGCTTTGCTACTCTTGTACTGAATTTTAAACTCCGAAAGCTCTAGGGAGCATTTCAGCATTTGATCGGTCATGTCTGGTCGACCTAGGAGCTGTCTCATGATTTGGTCTATTCATACGAAGATTGTGTGGACCAGGAAGTAATATCTTAGTCTCCTCGCCGTGTTAATGAGGGCTAATGCTACTTTTTCAATTTGTTGATATCTGACCTCTAGGCCTTGTAACGCTTTGCTAGTAAAATACGCTGGTTACTGCTCGTATGGTGTTTCGCAGACGAGTGCCACGCACACGACCTCGGTGGAGACGACCAGATAAAAGGACAAAGTTTCCTCACCCTCTGGTCATGTTAACACTAGTGGTTGTGACAAGGCTCGCTTGAGGTGGATGAGGGCTTGCTCGCACTCCTCGGTCCAATTGAAAGCCGCCTCTTTACGTAAGAGTTTGAAAATGGGAGTATATGTTGTGCGGACTTCGCTACGAAACGGGAAAGTGAGGTGAGTATGCCGTTCAAGACTTGTATGGATTTTTTCGAGCTTGGTGTGGGGAGCTATGAGAATTCTCGGTATTTGTCGGGGTTGGCTTTAATTCCCTGTTCGATTAGATAGAAATTTGGAATTTTCTCGCCTTGACCCCGAATATGCATTTCTCCGAGTTAAATCTCATTTTGCATTGCCTTGCTTGGGCGAAAACTCTTTTGAGGTGAGCAGCTTGGTTGGTTTCCGTTCGATATTTGAGGATCATGTCATCTATGTATACCTCGAGCATGTGCTTGATCTCAACGCCGAAGACTTTATTCATCATCTGCTGGTATGTAACCCTTGTATTTTTTAGGCCGAAGGGCATTACGTTGTAGTAGTAATTGCCCGACGCAGTTGTAATACGGTGGGAGAACTGGCTTTTGTTTTTTTTTTATCGCAAATGTTGCGGATAGCAAGAGTCGCCACCGATTTTTATTTTATCCAACAAAGGAAAGGGTGAAAAGAACATGAAAGACCTTTGAGAATTTTTTGAGTAAGGGGGATAGGTTATGAAAAGGAAAAGTGTTAGAACCATTTTCATCCGTAGTTATCTATAAACTCTTAATCGATAGCTCACTTTTGAAAATATTTTATAAATATATAAATTTAAAAATATTTTAAAAATAACTAAATTCGACAATTTTGTAATGATTATCGTTGTCTATCTATTGCAAGAGTTCCTCATTGTTTATCTATTGCAAGATTTTGAAATGGGGACATCTAGACCATTTTTTTCGAGTCCCAAGTTTCTGTTTTCTTGGTTACTATTCGTAACATTTGTACTATTAAGTTTTGATTAAAGTGTTATGTCGACAGCCTAACAAAACGACAAGCTGCCAAAAGAAGTAAACGTCGACAAGACAATCGAACAAGGGGCTCATGAATCATGATGATATTTATCAATAGTATATTTTTTTTCTTTCCTAGAGACCCTATCTCTCTCTCTCTATATATATTACAGCGTCCATTAATTTCTTTCATCTCTCTCACCAACCAAGACACTGCACAGAAAGCTTCTAAACCACAAAATGACAGACTCTATAACTGGTAGTACTAATTTCATAGCAATAGCAACCTGGTTTGCACCTTCACCCCTTTTCATCCTTGTAAACCTAGTCATCGGTACCATAGCCCTCGTTTCTTGCTTCAGCGTTGCACCCAAAACCAAAATCATCCAACGACCCAACTCTTTTAATACCCGTCAATACTACAACCACCAAGAACAAACATCTAGTGTTACAGAACCCGAGTCAGGATCCGAGTCTACTGAATCCAAGCTCGTTCAAATACCATCCCTCTTAGAGCGTGTCGTGTCTTTCAATCTCTCCCTTCAGAAACTTGCACCACCACACGTAAAAACACATTACGTTCAATCCGAAACCGAAAACACATCCGCGGAACTGGATCCAAAACTGGTTTGTGATGAGGAGAAGAGCATGGTGGAACTGAAGAGATCGGTGAGCGAGAAAGAGTGCTCGGTGACGTTAGATTGGGAGGAGGAAGAGAATGAAGAAGCATTGGAGAGAAGAAGACCTTCCACAGCGATGGCGAAAAGTGAAACAAGCACGTGTAAAGAAGATGAAGGGGTTGACGCAAAAGCTGGTGATTTTATCATCATGTTTAAAAAGCAACTGAAGTTGCAGAGGCTTAATTCTTTAATCCGTTACAGAAACACACTTACAATTCCATTTGAATAGTGATAGTTGTTCATGGATAAGATGCAAAATAAAATAAAAAAGAAACTAGAATGTTTGGAATTGATGTAGAATTTGATTATAAACTAAGTCAGTGTTAGTCGACACACTAGTTAATTAGCACACCGCAGAACTACAAGAAGTTGGTATATCTAACTCGGACTCATGTATACATCTTTATTTCACCATCCGGAACTATGATATTTTGTTCAAGCAGGTGTTTGTAGATTTTTTTAGAGAAATGACTTAAAGTTGTTATTATCAATATAATATAATAACCCTCTATGTTATTAAAAGAAATATACTCATAGTAATTTAGGGCTCGCTAGTGGTAGGATTTAAGTTAAAGTTGTTAAAATGAGTTATTCGATCTTAAATAAATAGCCTTATTTAATCAAAAAAGCCTTATTGTATTATAGATTTCAAAATTGTTATTTGAGTTTGGCTCTAGATAGGTTTCAGATTATTTGACTCCAAACGAATTTTTTTTAATAAAAAATTAAAATAAAAAATTAATAAAATTTATTATAAATAAAATTGAAAAGATATATTATTTTAAATATAATACATTTTCAAGTATTATATTATCTTTTATAAATATTATAATGTATTTTTTTATTAGGGCTGAAGCCCGAAAAAAAAAAAAACTAAACTACAATGACTTTGGGAAGGAGGTTCCCTTCTCATCCATCTCAATTAAACGACTAACATAATGTGTTTTTAAATACAATATGATCGTACTTGATCAGAAGAAATTGTCAAGGTCCACGAGCTTCAAGTCGAGCAGTGGTTGAATGTGAAGTGGGGGGGAGGGTGGTACCTGTAAGACACTCTAATGTCAAAGTAAGGTTCATAGTAAGTGCAAGTAAGTGTGAAAGTGTGAGTGAATGAACGAATACTTGATCCTCTCAAGTGAGAGGATACTCATATCCCCCAACGCTGGGTCAAGATCCCCATTATTGGGCTGACCAAACAAGTCTAAAATGGAAACCGTCAGGTCCTACGTGTGTAGTGGAGGCCAGCACATGGTCCTCAACCTGAATAGAATCTTCCAAATTATCGAGAGGATGTGGATGCGGTCCTTTTCGGGGTCAAGAAGACTCTGTGACATTCTGAGGCATTGGGTGATAGTCCTACGAGGAGCGTGCTCGCGAGGACCTCCTGGGCGCTGTTGGTCGACGAGAGGATTTGAATTACTACCTGACATTGTTAAGGGCAAACTCTCTCCTGCTAGTTTTCTCCTGCAACATAGTTGGATTGGGCCTTATATGATGTTTGGGCCAAGTGCAGGTCCAGTCCAGAACAGAATCCCTCTAAGTCGTTGCTCCTGAGGAAATTAGTTATGACTTAAGACCAACTTCCCCATATAGTGAACATAGTTTCACCGGGGTCTCCTATCACGTCGAGGGACGGGGTCGCAACTACTCGAGTGAGGATTGGAGTTCGCTCACGGAGAACATTTATTTGCTCCTCGACTCGCAGGGAGACGAAAGTTCAGAGCATGTTTACTTCGTAAGTCACGTGGTGTAGCTTTTGGTTGCGACTACTCGAGCGGAGATTGGAGTTTGCTCAGATAGAACATTTATCTTCTCCTCGACTCGCAGGGAGACGAAACCTTTGAGGATGTTTATTTCGTAAGCCACATGGTGTAGCTTTTGGGATATAATGATGGCCTAGGGAGTAGGGATCATTATGACCCTGAGCGCGTGGACGGTGGAGAGATGGACGATTGATACGTTGTTTGACACGACACTTCGTCTTCCGTGCCAGCCTTATAAATTGCGCCTAAGGGCTCATTTGTAACATTTCCAAACTCTCGCTCTCTCCTTTCTCCATAGCGTCCTCAGTTTTATACCGTCCTCAATTTTCTTCTCCAACTGTAAACACCGTCGTAGCTTCCCCCGCAGAGTCTCTACCAACCTTAATCAAGTAAGTGTTTCCCAGTGATTATTGTCGTTTATAATTGTTTTTTTTACAAATCTCATGGATTTCCTGATGAATTTCACTGTCCGAGGGATTTTTATTTGGATACCTCTCTTCGTGATACTCGGGAAATGGCTCGTGAAATTCATCTACTCTCGCATGATTCATGAGATTATTGGGGAAATTCATCCCGTCCCTGCAAAATTCATGAAATTTCTCGGGAAGTTCATCCCCTCCTCGCAATGTTCATGGGATTTTTCAGAAGATTCATCTTATCCTCATCACCTTCAAGAGGTTGCTCGAGAGATTCATGTTCTCATCGCGGTGTTCACGAGTTTGTTTTCTTTTACTGAACGAGGGTTGTCGACCTGGTTTGGTCATAGCAACCCCCTTTCACTTGTGTTGCCATGGAAGGGTGGATTTGATTTAGCTGTCAAATTCACTGGTTTCCTCTGATTTACATGTGAAATGGCTGAACCAATCGAGACACTTGAGTAGGTTGAGGTAGAAGAAATAAGTGGAGTCGACGAGGGTGTCCACTTGATCAACACCGTCACCGACCCGTCACTATCCTGGGTCGGGTCAGAACCCTGAGGGATAACCTCGGTCTTTAGCCATACAAGGATGGAGGCGTACACCATCATCGAATATGGCAGTGACTAAGAGGGTTTCCGAAGAAATTTCATGATCTTTCGCCCTACACCTACAGCCAGAATATGCTCGTCTTTCCCGGAAGATCGCTTCCCCATGTACGAGATTGTCTTCAAGGATCTGGGGCTCCGTCTTCCCTTCAGTGACTTTCAAATGGGCATCTTCAATCATTTCTCCTTAGCGCCCTCCCAACTGCACCCCAATGTGATTACTTTTATACGAGATTTCGAGATTACACGCCGATACTTGAGGATTAGGGCGAAGATTCTTTGTTCTTCAGAGTTTTCCATCTTTAACGGCAGTCTAGGGGAAGAAAACATAGTTAGGTTTCTTTCAAGCAGTCCAAGAGGTTGTTCCGAATATATATGGACTTTGTATGTGACTTTAAAGACAAGTGGTATGTCATGCAGCCTTCGTCTCTAGAGGCAGTGGGCGTAATTTTCGACCTAGTTTCTCTCGCAGACGAGGAAGGGGAAGTTTGTTATGACGAGGATGGGAATAAATTGATCTGGAGGCTCTCTAAGTTCCCTATCCATTGGTGTCGAGCTCACTACGACTACAGACCCGATCAATATCATACTCCTGCTGGCAACATGGGTGCCGGAGATGAAGGGGCCTTCCGTATCCTCAATAGATTCGTCGATGGTTTCTTCCCATCCAGGTGGGTGACAAGGGAAGGGGACGATGTTCTTAGTGAATATGGCGAACCTACGTTCGAGGCCTTCCCAATCAACACCATGGCGCTTGTTAAGTGTCGTACCTGTGGGGACGTCGTGGCTCTTCTGGGTCTCTTCCCACGTAACTCTATTGCATTATGTTTTTAACTTGTTTCGGGTATATCCCTTTAACGATACTAACTAGAGCATGTTATTTTTGTGTTTGCAGGTAATATGGGAAAGTGTCGTGAACGTTTACTGAAGCTAGCACAGGACAAGAAGAACAACAAGAGGTTAGTGAAGCCTAACCAGCCCACGCACCAGTTGGCTGAAGATTTTGATGATAATGTTCGAAGCGAAGCAAGTTGGATGTTTCGTTGGAATAAAGCAAGATGTTATGTTTCAAAATGGTAGAAGCAGTGCTTCGAATGGACATGTCAAAACTCTGAGCTTCGAGTGACAGTTATATGGATATATTCAAAAGAAGTCTCGAAGTAGTAACAAGGCTGTGTCCAAGAAATGAGTTCGAAACGAAGAGTGCCAAAACATTTGAAATTCAAACGCAAGCGGGATGTTCGAAATTTAAAATATATGCGTTGGAGAATTCGAAGACGCGTGGAAGCTAGAGAGGGGCATTGTTTTGCATGTTCTGAACGTGGCATAATCTTATAGGCAAGACCGTTATGGTCGAAGTAGTATAAATAGAAGTCTTAGCGTTAGGATTTCGTGTGTCATATCTGTTGTACAAAATTCAGTTAACATTCAAAATACCACATGGCTAGGGAAACGAATGCTCGAACAATGTACATATGATAACACCAAATAATTATGATTCAATAAAACTCTTTATCATTTCCAGTTTATCCTCTATCTTCATGTCAATATCATTCAAAAGCCTTTACATTAAAGTATTTTCATTCGAAGTCTTTTACTGATTTCTTGCATTTAAATATTTTCTTTCCATTTCAAATCCTTTACATTTCAGAAACTTTTGTATATTTCATGCCTTTATCTTCATGCTTTTATCATTCAAATACCTTTTTCATTCAAAGCCATTTTACTGATTTCTTGCATTTAAACGCTTTCTTTCTATTTCGAATCTTTTACACTCCAGAAAATCTTTTACATTACATGCTTTTATACTTCAAAGTTATTTACTTGTCTTTTTGCAGTTTTACATGTCTTTACAATTGAACCTTTATTCATGCAATTTAGTTTCGTACGTATTTACTTGATCATGTCATTAGATCTTTAATAGAGTAATCGAAGTAAGTTGAACACCTACACAACATTCTAAATACCAACCATGAATATCAGTTCTATGATGAGAATTATCCAAATGACCAATACACCATAGGATCAATCTAGTCGATCCTGCAAGTTACCAGAGAGATTAAATAACAGTCATTAAGATTATTTGATAGTTTGGAGGACTAGCGGTTGTTTACCAGAAATAACTGTAAACAAATTGGCACACCCGGTGGGACGCGTCATTGGTCATTACGAAATCTAGAACAAAGTAAAAAATTGTTGAGACATAACCATTGTAAAAGTACTCTCTGAGTGATAAGTTTGTTGTTATATGAACCTTAGAAGTGGTAGAATAACCAAAAGCAACCAACCCTTACCCAGAAGAAAACGTTTAAACAAGATGTCTAATTCAGACAATCAACAAGGGGAACAAAATATCCCACATACAACAGGCACTAATATGTCCGCTTCGATGGGAACATCTAATGCGATCCCTTCGAACGCACAGTCTGTTGCATCTTC